ATTATTATTATTATTATTATTATTATTATTATTATTATTATTATTTGTTGTCATACTGCCCAACTCCCATTGACTCTGGGTGGTTCACAAGTAAAAAACAGAAAAAACAATAAAACAATGCAATAGTAAAAACAAGGGACAAAAGATGGCAACAACCAGGCAACAACAAAAAGCAGACCCACTGTAGCCAGAACTGGGCTTCAATCTTTTCCCTTCAAAGGTCTGGGAAAAGAGTCAAGTCTTTGAGGCTATCCAAACTCCAGCAGGGTGGGGGCCATCTGGATCCCAGGGAAAATCTGCAAAAAACCTGTCTCAAAAGACGGCATTTTTATTGAAGGAACCTGGAGCATGCCAACCCTGCTGAATGGAATCGACCAGGCAGGTACTATGGGAATAAGTGGTCGCTCAAGTAATCAGGCCCTATGCCATGTAGGGCTTTATAGGTAATGACCAGCATCTTGAATTACACCTGGAAGCAAACTGGCAACCAGTGCAGCTTACAAAGCAGGGGTGTTACATGGGGATATCGAGGAATGTCCATCACCATCTGTGCCACTGTTAAAGCTTCCAGGTGGTCTTCAAGGGCAGCCCCACGTAGAATGTGTTGCAGTAATCAAGCTGCAAGGTGACCAGGACAAGAATGACATCCGTGCTGAAATTAGACAGCTCAAGGATGTATTTCCAAACACCACAATCAAGCTCTGGGTAAGTCTGGAACACTGGAGTATAATCAATATAGACACTATAGTGAAAATCCAGAGAAGGATCAACTGACCCAGGGAAAAAAGAGAAAGGGAGAGAGTATAATATTGGGCTCATGAATGACAGCTGTAAGTGGAAATGCCTGTGATGATGACTCATAAAAAGATAAAAAGAACCATTGCTTAAAAAAAAAAAAAAACCAAGAGAGAACTACATCACTGGTGCCCAGGAACTTTAAGATATCAAATGATATAGACAAGTCCAGCACAATACAGATGACCAATGCTGTGCCCTTGCAAACCAGATATCATACAACACATGATAGTGACATCTCAGTGAATGTCTTGTCCAGAACCACAACTGAAATGAGACAGAAATCAAACTTGGCAAGTTGGACTGTTAGTTGGAACAGGGTGACTCTCTATAGGATGTTCCAAAGACAGGAAAGGAATGAGACAGGATTAGAACATAATAGGAGTTTTTTTTTTAGCAATGGGCAAAGTAAGGCAGCTTGAGTGAATCTGGAAAAACTGCCACTAGAAAGGGAGCAAACTCTTCCTACATTCTTGAAAAGAATTTACATTACAGTGGAAATTTACAGAAATGAAGGGAAGCGATGAGAGGAATAGCTGAAGGGGAGAGGAGATAATGAGCCTAGCCATCTTCTCCTAGATTACTGGCTGGACTTGATTTCTCTAATAACCCAACCAGTTGAAACAGCAGCTGGGAAAAAGAAGAGCCATCTCAAAGCTATTAAAATATCCTCAAATGATGAGTGGAGATTTAAATAAGCCTGGTTCCTTTGATTATTTCTTGCTCTACCTACAGAAGAGGAAGAACGCTATGCCACAGAAAAAAATGGTGCAATTAATATGCATCTTACCAGAACTGATCCAGCACCCTGCATGAGTATAGGTTGAGTGGGGAGGAGGCATTAAAACTCACATACTTCTGAAAAATTAATGGTAGATTTACTCTTTTGGTCTTATAGCTGCCACTAATGTAGACATGTGTGTAGATATAGATGTTAAGCCAGGGGCAGAAATCTGCAGCAATATGAATTGGACTATATACATTCTGACATTTATGTCTACAAAGACACAAATATCTTATTACAAGATTAGTGTGAAGGTCTCAGAACTGAATCAATACAGTAATTGAAAATACAAACATCTGTCACTGTATTCCAGAGAAACAAAGGATATTTCCTTCATTGAGAAAGGATTAATGACACACTTGCCAGGTTTGTTGAATCAATACTGGCTTAGCATATGTAGTCCCACATGTGAACATCTACTTGTTAATAGTAAGTGAAGAGAGGACAGTTAGGGATGGGGAAGGAGTTATAAAGCAGCAGTGATATTTTTAAAAAAACTGCCATAATGGGAACAATGTGTAATCTATTATAATAGTATGATATACTAAGCTTTCAAGTGCTCAAAACAGTTCAGAAACATTATGTTATCATAACCTTTAAACAGTAATCCTATAAAATAGAGTAATAGTATTTCTGTAAGTAGTATTTCTATACTGCAGTCTTGTAGATCAGAAGATACAGTGAAACTGAGGTTGTAGGTTACCTAAGACCAAAATTAAAAATAAAATAGGAAACCAACAGTAGCATTCTATCCTGTTTGGCAGTTTCATATATCTTGAATCTACTTAGGCAAGACTGCCAGAAATTTGAAATTTGCAAATTTGAGACAAAATTCAGATGGAACACTTTGAATGGTCCAATCTTAAAACCATCCATGTGCAAAGCTGCTCTGGTGGGTAATACAATATCAAGTTTGCAGTAGGAAAAACTTGATACAGGTCTAATTCACAGGAAGTATTAATTTTTCTAACATCCAGACAGTATTGACTGGATTGGCTATTGTGCTGAAGCAGAGTGAGCTGAATTAGTTGACTCAATATTGGTTGTGAGATCTAATGAACTCAGCAGGAGTGGAATAGAACAGACCTTTTCAAATTCTTTCTTCCAAAGTTCTACTATGTTTGGCTTCTATGAAAATAAACTTCCAATAGATACTATTGAATTATATTTAGATGTCTGTGTGATGTTAATAAAAATTAATTAATTATAATAAGTAAACCACCATGACTCAATTAATTAGAACTAGCAGTATATAAATCCAATAAATAAATAAAGTGAAATGCAGCATCACTTTGAAATGACATTATCAAATTCTATAAACCTTCCAAATACTATACCGATTACAATCAATAAACAATAAAGATGTAAATTAATGTTTAATCGATGGCTGGCCCTAGCTGAAGCTCCATATATTTCTCTACATGGGCAGATGCTTTCCCTGACTCCATATCTGGGTTCGCTATATTTCCTTACAGGAAATGTTTGCACATCAATTACCATGGTTTATAATTAGTGGCATCCATATAACAAGCCATGATGCCATCAAAATAATAAAATGGGCATCATTATGGCATTGTGCAAATGACATCATTGACTAATGTGCTTCAGATATATTGTGATGTTTCACATGAATACAAAAATTGCATGAAGATGTCATAACACATAGATTGTTATTTTCCTCCACAGAAGTACATATTTATAATATGCATTATTGCACCAACTCAGAAGCTTATGGATTGGATTTAGACATTCCATACTTGAGCAAAAAGATACTTGGTTTAATAAGTCAGGCCCAGTGACTACACTATAATTTCTCTGGCTAATTTTGGATCTACAAAATCTTGGATCTATTAATTTCAACAGCTGTGCCTGGAGTTCTCATATGCTGGGAAAAAGTAAACAGTAATTTCCAAATCACTTTCTACATGACTTTTATAATCATATGCAATGTTGGAAATAAATCCATATAGATATAATTTATTTTATGTTTCTCTTACATTTCTTTTTCACACACAGACTGTAGCTCAGAAAGATAAGCCCCAAAATTATTTCCTAAAGCTAACTAATAACTAGTGTAAATTCATCTGACAGAGTTTATCAAATTATTTTATATTTTTTATGTTGGCCTTCATAGCTTCAGGTAGTCTCCACCTTACATCAGTCTTCCTTGACTTGGTTTTCTCCAGTTGTATTGGACTACCACTCCCAGAATTCCCTTTTTACTTTTGAGTATGCTAGCTGGGGTCTACAGGAGTTGTCCTTTATAATGGGGTGGGCATCAATTTGTGGAGGATAGGGCTATACTTAATTCTTAGTTCACACAAGAGTGAGATACTATGTTACCTGCTGAACATCTTGCTGGAAAACACAAAGTTGAAGCCGCTGATGTAACCGAACCTTCCTGTGTTGCCAGATGCTCTCCAAGCGCCGCTGGTGATGTAAGACTTCATGGACCACATCCAAAACTTGGTGAACAGCCTTGGAATAATTTGCTGTAGCGGTGAGGGATTCTGAGTTACCAGGACTCAAGGGACGTTGCAGGACATCCAGCAAAGCCTTTCCATCCTGGCTTACCTGTAAGATACAGGAGGAAATTTCTGTCAAGCTGTTAAAAACTGGCCAGATAATTCTGTTTATACCTCATTTGTTAAAAGTCAAATATAATTTAGAAGGATTTTGTTTGTTGCTTCTGTAAATTTGGTTAGAATTGTAATCTCTGAAAGAGATTTGATATAAGATTTGCAAATGCACTTTCATCTCAGGAAACCAGCTCTATTGTTCCTAGTAAAAAAAATTGTGCCTTCTCTATCATTGTTCTACAGCCATTATTCTTTAAATAAAGTAAATTATTTTTATTTCACTGCAGTATATCTGGCCTGAGATCCTTAAGACATTAGGCAGACCAAAAACATTTTAATAAATAAAATATACTTGTAAAAAATGTAGTCATGGTGAAAATGTCATATGGAAGAATGTAGTGTTCTTTAGTTTATATGATCATTATGTACCAGGAGGAATCTCAAAAGAAAATTTTGTTCTGATAATATTTTGCCTTACAGTGAAAGGTGAAACTCATCCTGACTCTCTAGCAGTTCATTGTCTTCTGCTATGTGATCCATTGCTTCTCATTATCAATCATTAGTATCACCATAATACTACATCCATTAAATGGCTGTCTCAGAGGAATCCATATTTCATTAATCAGCAAGAACTAGTTAACCAGCAAAAATTAGAAATGAAGCAAGGCACAGGAAATTCTTTTGTTAGCCTTTCTTTCTTTCTTTCTTTCTTTCTTTCTTTCTTTCTTTCTTTCTTTCTTTCTTTCTTTCTTTCTTTCCTCTGATAAAAAAAAATCCACATAAAATATCTTGGAATAAAGGGTCTGGAAGAACCAGTCATGTGTGTTGTGATCATCTGGCTGATTATTTCAATGATAATGTCATTTTCATTTGTTTCAAATTGGAAGCCAAGTGGACAGAATCCAGTGGATGGCAGAAGTAGCATTCTGAAACATTACCTGAGAGATTTTTGAGTTTGTGACTCCCAGGGAAGTAGACAGGGTTCTCTGTGGCCATAGCTCTACCACTTGTAGACTTGACCCCTGTCCCTTCTGGTTATTAAAGCACCAAAAGAGGGAGCAGGGAAGTTGAGGCAATAAATTGTCAACACCTCTTTGTGGGAATGGGTGACACCAGCAACCTTGAAAGGGATGGTAGTCCACTCCCTCCTCAAGGATCCACCTATATTGGACATGTATAATCCTATATCCAACCTCCCTTTTCTGAGCAAATGGTCCCAAGCCATATAGGGTTGGATCAGAGAATTCTGAAGACTATGTCCAATGTAATTTATTTGATGCTAATTGCTTGGATTGCATCAACTGTCTGCCTGATGACAGTAATTTTACACCATATGTAACTGTTATTAGGATCACACAGCTTGAAAAATGATTTTATACTCCTAAGTAAGGTCCATGGTAGCCTGTAGCTCAGGCTACAATCCTATATGCACATTTCTGGAATAAGACAATGGGATTACATCTAAACACACAAGCATAGGATTACATCATCTCTTGACTGAATAAGAAACTATATATAGTACTAGAGAAAAATTACAGAAGATCCATTAGCTGGGCTATTTAAGCATATCAGCACAGAATGAAAAACCAGATGAACACGTCCTATAAATTATGTAGCTCATAACCCTCTGTACTCCTTTTGCATATCCAACCTTCTCTGTTAATTACATTGTGAAATCGCCTAGTGATTATTAAAGACTCATCTAGAATCCCTCACCTCAGTGTAAGCCTGAGTGACCTGTTCATAAAGTGACTGATGATGATGGATGGCCAATTCCAGGTTTTGCATTTCTGATGGGAGACCTCCTTCACTGCACATTTTGCACCAGGCATCTACACCAGACAGAAACTGAAAGAATTCCAAGAAGAGTTTACTTGATTACAAAAAATTAACAGCTATCAACAATAACATATGTAATAATAACAGAAGTAGCACTACACAGCACAACCAGCAAAAATAGAATGACACAGAGTACATTTTCTAGCTGAAATCTAGTCCAGAATACACACCACTCCATAACTCATTTGGTATATCTAAGAAGGCTCTGGGCTTAAGTTTTTCAGTAAATTCTAGTCCTGCAAATAGTTTTGGACAACTTTCAAAGTTTCAAAATCACCTGTAAAAATAGCATGGCAAGGACTGTTTCCCCCACCCCACCCCCCAAAAAGGAGCAAATAAAAAACTGTATTTTTCTTGCTGCCTTTAAAAAAACCTTTTTGTTAGGACAAAACAAAAATAGGAGTAAAAATTATGAGGAATTTAGGAAATTGCAGTTGGGTCAGGAGAATTTATTATTAATGCATAAGGCAGCCAAAAGAGGATCTCTCTCTCTCTCTCTCTCTCTCTCTCTCTCACACACACACACACACACACACACACACAATTTTTTAAAACAAATTACTATTTTTCTTTCTTTGAACTTCTACTTTCTACTGTAGACACTCAAGGTAGAATGGTTTATCCTCAGCTTCCAGGCAGCCCAAATAATCTTTGGACTGTTTGGGAGTTAGAGGTGAAACTCTACTGCCTCAGGTTACTGGAAAAATGATGAAATTCTGCACTGTTGGATTTACAAAAAAATAAAAGCCCAGAGAAAAACAGGAAGCTCAGGGAAAGAAAAAATAGTGATTTAAACAAAATTTCTGTCAGGTTTCAAACCAGCAACTTTTACAAATTTTATAACCATTGTGCTATTATAGCTTTCATAATAAAGGTAGCTCTAAAAGACATTAAAGGACTACTGGCAACGACTGGCTCATTTGAGGGGGTATTCCTGCCGCTGCAAAGTAGCCAATGAAATGTTGGGGTTAGCCTGCAACAAATTTAGTGCATTATCCAAAACAGAAAGTGTCTTAAGAAGTGGAGCAGAAAAAATGTCCCCAGAGGTCACTCTGACAACGAGTGAGGAATTCTAAAAGGTGATATACTGTATGTTTTTGCCCTCCAAAAATGGATGCTGGCCTGTTCTGACAAGTCCATATAAGCTCCCTGATGCATCTTAATTCACCAGGTTGGGGATGTTCATCCACTAGAATCCAAAACTAACAACCAAGCACAGCCATTTTATATATTATCAAGCTAGAAGAATTGTTTTAAAACAAATGGGGTTTGAGGAAAGTGTTAGATAGAAGATCCATAATCTGTATTGCATAGTAGTTTCTAAGATCACAGATCAGCAATAAGAAATCACTTGAGTTGGCTTCAAAGTCCTACATCCATGAGATATGCACACTTTGGTCACATTTATTCTGACCTTGCCTTCTCTATATACAAAAATGTCTTGATCAATAATTATTTTATTTCAAATGGAACATGACGCACTGATACACCTCTTCACAACCTCACACTTCTTACTAATCTTCCCATATTTTTCAGTCTTAAATTATCTACTGCTCATTCTACTCTGCTTAAGAAACTTAACTGTATAACAATAAAAAGAACAGCTAACAGCTCCAACATCTGAGAAACATAAAAAACTGTAATACTAACTTTCTAATCTGCTCTCAAGGTGTTTCACCTGTATCTGGCTCCTGAAATGCTAGACTCCCTGGAGTTTATTATCTCAAATATTCTGATCCCAAAACAACTTATTGCAAGCTGCAATGTCTAACAGGATAATCATAGAATAATGAGATTAAAAAGAAAATGAAATTGTCTAACCCCTTACTCAGGAACAAAGTCCTCTCTCATTTAACATATTAGCACATTCTAAATGAATTAGATAATTAGAATGAACTAGGAGCATTGTTGGAATGGTATGTGGGAAAGACCTTGGGAGAGTGGACAAAGAGATGCTGCCAAGTTAAGAGTCAGCATAGTCAGGATAGTGGGCAGGGCAAGAAGCTCAGAAGAGACCCTTCCCATTTTCTCAGGCTGTATAGG